GCAGACCTTTTCGTCCCTAATATCTTCAGCATTCAAACTGGCAGGTTTTTCCATGGCAACAAGAGTGAACATCTGCATAAGATGATTTTGCATTACATCTCTGTAAAAAGGTAATGAAGTCAAGACAATTTACAAAAATAGTGCAGAAGGGACCTTATGATTCCGGCGGTCTCAAAGTAACCAGCTCTTCCTCCTGTGCCAAAATTTTCTTTGAATGAAATGGTTACTGATGCGATATTATCTCTGTTCCATGATGCTCCAAAAAATCGGTTGCCAAATCTGAAAGATTATGAGGTGGGAAGTCTTTGCTATAACTTAAATGCTTATCCTACCTTAGCACCATCAGATTTTGGACCATTTCTTTACCGAGGTAATGATCTATCCTGTACACTTGGTCCTAATTGCAGCGAAATATTTGTTGATCAAATAAAAAATTTTCATTTACCTCTCTAAAAAGACTTGAGACATGTTTGGATAGTTTCGTCGACGATTCGAGATCATGACCGAAGGGTTTCTCGATAATCACGCGAGTCCATGAGTCTCTGGAATGATAGAAGTGCATTTCAGGACAAAAATTGCCTAAGACAAGAACATCGAATGGTCTTATGATATGCTAACCCGTGATCCATACAGTGTTCTTTCAACTCGGTAGTAATGGGCTCAAACACGGTAGGTGGAACCGCGAGGTAGTAAAGACGGTTAACGGGCTCTGTAATACGCGTGCATAAACATGATCTTAGCAACAGCCAACTCCTCTCTTCCGAAACTAGCCAAGGGAGAAGACTCGCGATAAAATTTTTTCGATAAAAGATTCAAAATTTTTCTTGCAGCAGATAAGTTCAGGTAAGCGGAAAAGCTGAGGGAGACATTTTGCAAGGGCACCGCCTTCGGTCACTCCAATAGTTTCGCAAGGAGATGTGTTGGGAGTTTGAAGAGTGCTCTTGTTGAATTTTCTTCTTCCAGCAAAGTATGAGGAGTGTGGGAAGAGTTTCATAGCTCTGCCCAGACTTCTCAGACTTTGCTGAAAGAAGATAGTTCAATATGAGCAACTTTTCAGACTCCCAACACATCTCCTTGGTAAACTGTCAAAGTGACTGAAGGCGGTGTCCGTGCAAAAACTCACCTTCAACTTTTCCGCTTACTTGGACTTATCTGCTGCAATCTCAAGATAACATCTTATCCGGCAAAGGTTATCTCGCAAGTTGCAATACAGACTCAAAAGTGTGGAGATACCACTTACGATTGTTGCTCTTTTTTTGTATCTCGTCCACAAATGCGCCCAATTGTACGAACCCCTCCGGTTTGTCGTATCCTCCCTGAAAACTTAGGATGCTGAAGCAAAGTGCATGAAAAGATGAATATGAAATTTGAGTTGTTAATCAAACCTGCATATAGGCGCATTTCCCCATAAATTCCTCGAACTTTTCACGCTCATTCAACCGCACCTAAAATCAGAAGAAGCTTTAACTACGACTTTTCAGAAATGGAACATACCTTGCAAGCCTTCTCGAACGTTTCCCTCACTTTTTCCATTGTGAGATCTGATCGAGCGTAACCAACAATAGTTATATTGTTTGGGAGAAGAGAGTCGCGGTATAGCCACCATAAGGTCGGATAGATTTTCTTCTTGGCGAGATCTCCCTGAAAGCACCGAAAGTAACTGAAGAAAGATATGAAGGTGATCATACAACTGACTTCGTTTACTCTACCGTAACTAAGGCAAATTTAGTACAGAAGCCATCGCTAAATTTCGCCATATAAAACAAATAATAAGTATATCTTTTGATTCAACCACAGGCGGTAGGGAGGCGGGGATTCGTGACCTAGTCAAAGCTAGAGAGTGATGAGAGAGCATGCACGCGGGAGAAACGCAAATGCGGCGCAAATGCGAGCGGCCGCGCTTCCAGCCGCCTATTCCATTAAATCAAGGGTAAGCATCGCACACACATATTTACGCCATAACAAATGCCATTGCCGTCTTCTCCAAAAATGTTACATTTATCTGACGTCCATTGTCACAGTGGACTGAAGGAAATGTCTGCGTGCGATGATCCTATGGGTTGTTGACATCGAGGTCCCACTACCGTCTGTTTCAAACCGTTGCGGGCAAAATTTCATGTGGAGCGGCGCGTCCGCATCGCTAGAGAATTTGCGAGTAGGAAGCGATGGCATTTTGTCAGTTGGAGATTGAGGAGAATGAAGAGATGCAGACATGGGTTCTTGGGCCATAAAATACTGAAACTGCTAAAGCGCGAACTAGCGCCGCGTCACTTGCCAACTCAATCCCTGCCTCAACTGGGTTGACACTTGATGTACATACAGGCGATGTCAATGACGAGCTCACATGTCC